CTGACGCATTATCGCGCAGACCAGACTTCGAGGCAAGACACCAGGAAAGTGTGTCTCGTGCGAAAGCACAAGTTGAGTCGTCAACATTGGCAGCCATGTAGGCGTACCATGTGACGAGCTCAATGGCCTCCGATATCCAGGAGTGTTACAGTCATGACGAACATTGTCGCCTGCTGTTGGATCATTTTGGTGGACGAAAGGTTACCCTTCCGTCGCACCTCAAAGCGAAGCTTAAATCGCTTTAGTTACAGTGATGGCCTGTTATGGCATCAACTGTCACCCTGTGATCCCTTGAGAATCTATGTCCCTCATGACACAGATCTTAAGCTGATGATACTTCACGAGTGCCATGATGCGCCATCTAGCGAGCACCTGGGTCATGAAAAGACATTCTTACGAGTGTCAGAGGAATTTTGGTGGCCCCATGGGTGGCCAACTATATTCGCTCTTGCGAAGAGTGTCAGCGCATAAAGCCTGCACCTTCGAACAGTGCGCCACTGAAGCCACTGCCGATTCCAACTGAATGTTGGAAGTCGGTCAGTTTGGACTTCATGTTTGGCTTACCGCCTGACCATAAAGGCAGGACGGGGATCGTCGTCTTTGTAGACAGACTGAGAACGATGGTGCATTGAGCACCATGTAGCACCAAGATCTCATGAAAAGAGGATTCCCTCTTGTTCCTGGATCACGTGTATCGACTACACGGGATGCCCGGGTTCATAGTATCGAGCTGGAATACGCGTTTTACGCTGAGTTTTTGGCGTCATGTGTTTGAGCTGCTGAAAAGAAAACTCCACATGTCAACCGCTGATCATCCTCAGACCGATGGTCAAACAGAACGGGCCAATCTAGTCGTGGCGGATGTGTTGCGTACCGTAGCGACTCCTAGAGAATGGAGCAAGCAATTGCCATTCGTGGAGTTCGCTATTAATAACAGTATTCACGCCAGTACGGGTGAAACACCGTTTTACATTAACGGACTGCGCCATCCCCGGACGCCAGTCTCGTTTGTGCGCAGCCCGAGTCTTAGTGGGGTAGGGCCCCTCACTCAGCTCAGTGCAAATGCCAAAAGAGGACAAAGTTGCCCTAGTGGCACTTCTAATCTAGCAATAGTCAGGTGTCAATAAGGGGGTACGGCAAGAAATGCCAGTGCTACACTATAGTGTTATCAACAGCGTCGACCCACGACCGACCTCTTGGGGGTGTCATAGGAGAGCTGGATGCTAAAAGCGTGAGCGAAGCTCAGCGCTTTGTGGATGAGCGATTAGCCATCACACGTAAAGTCCGTGACGCGATGGCAAGCGCACAGGACAAGCAAAAACAATATGCAGACCAGCATGGTCGCAAAAACAATGAACACTTTAGTGTGGGGGAAAAAGTGCTATTAAGTACTGCTACCCTACCTAAAGATGCAATTTCTGTACTACCTGGTGGTACTACTAAGCTATTGCCCCGATTTATTGGGCTCTTTACAGTGGTTGAAGAAGTTGGAGACCTAAATTATAGGCTCACTCTCCCACCGTATATGAAGACACACCCCGTATTTTACGTGGGTCGTCTGAAACGGTATGTTGATCCAGAAGAGATCACATATCCACATCGGTCTAACGAGACCGATGGTGACGTCGACTGTGAGTCGAGCGTCGCGGCCAATCAGGCGACGAGGAAGCCGAGAGGCTCCCCGTATACGAACGAGGCGATAGAGGACTCGGTCGATCGAGAAGGACTCCACGTTTGACGCGGGTATCTCGTCACCAATCGCTCATGTAAGATTCAAAAGAAGTCTTCAGGCGGTCATACCCCTGAAGATCCCTCGTATTCTCAGCGCGCAGATCCAAGACAGTCGCTGCGCTGAAGCGAAAGGTGGCCCACCTTTCTCTTCAGCGCAGCGATCTCCGCCTGCGAATGAACGACAACAGGATAGGCATCCGCGAATAGTTAAGCGTAATCGCCGCTCCTATCGGGCGCCACCTGTGTTGGTAGATGCGGGTGGGCACACACGCTTCCTTGTTGAAAGGTTGTTGGCCCACCGCCATGTGAAGCATAAGCTTCAGATTCTTGTCTAATGTAAAGGATACCCGAAGAGTTTTGAATCTTAGAACCGGTTGACGCTTTGCGTATCGACGTTCCTAGGCTGGTGAGTGCTTATGAGCAAAAGCATCAGCTGCAATCGCTCTGCTAAGTCCAGATGGACTAGCAGGGGCGGCGTGATGAGAAGGAGTTGGGGGTTTGTTATCACCCAATATCGCCCTTGCAAGCGTCATAGCGAAGTTGATTTGCTGCGACCGCTGTTTCACTGCATCTACATGCGGTGTTACACGGCGCAGGAACTCTGCTTCGTATTTGTCGGTTGTTTCGTTATAACGCAACACGACGGGGATAGGCAAAGCGCGACCTCGTGCTTTGCCCTGTCTTTTACATGATGGAAAGATGCTGAAGAGCTTATTAGCGTCAATAGTGGCACGCTCTAAAAGCGTCGCACTATTACCACTCGAGCGTGACCACTCGGATGGTGGTGGCATTACTGGCAATCCACCCCTCACGTAGCCGCCCTCACGATGACGTGATAGTGATGCCGACTTTAAAGTCGAAGGGGCTTTGTGATCGCCCTCACCTGAGTTGGGCTCTCCTTTTTGGATTGTCAAGACATCAGATGTAGGGTTAACAGAAGCAACGAATTTGAATCGCCGACCTGCTGTTGAGTCGCGGCTTTTTTCTTTCGAAGCAGCGCGCTCAGTTGTGGTCGATGCGCTTGTTGGCGCAGACGAAGAGGCATGACCCTTGCTGTCAGGAAGAATGGAAGATTCCTAAAGGTTGGGTGTCTTAAATGATGGGGACATATGTCCCATCAAGGCACTGTGCTAATTATCACTTTGAGGTCATGGCAATGGCGTGCTCTCATTGTAGTTAACAAGGAGAGACACACAATAGTGGGATGGACCAGTGTTCTCTTCTGACAAGCTGACATTAAATGTCGGTCTTCTAACAGAGACACTTAGCGACGGCTGCGAGGTATCGCGGCGCGTGCGCTTTGCGTTGATCTGCATGGGCGCCTTTGCAGATGACCCATCAACCTTTTCACGTTTCGGTGGTATCTTCTCGTTTTAAATATATTTCATAAACTGTAAAAAATGTTCAACAAAGGGGGATGGTGTAACGGGCCAAAATTTACACAGTTCGTTAAGTATCGAATACTTAACGGGCAGGTCTAAAAGTCGTTGCGCGGATCGCTTGAAGCGGCCGGCAACAGTTGGTACTGCGCTTTTAAGCGCCGACCAACACCACCACCACGCACGCGGAGGTAAGACGGTATAACCGCTTCCTCACGCTGCTTGAAGGTGTGTGCTCGTAACACGTGGCAGCTTCTTTCGAAGTGCCCGTCTACAAGTAGTATCGCATGTTTCTAATCACGTGCACTTTTCCATGATGAATGATTATTCTTTAGCAGCCTCTACATGCTCTTCTTACGCCTACACATTTCCTCCTTTACCCATTTATACCAATTCCCTGTAGCCTATAGCAGTTGAGAGTGCACATTATCTTCTGCAATTAGTAATTGAGTATCTACCCCAAAATTGCGATTTTTTTGAGTAATTTATCAACATTTAAGGTTAAGTCCAATTTTGTATTATCCGTCACCAAATTCGACGAAATATCCACAATTTAACCAAAAAAAATAAAAATACATCGATATATTATAAAAGACCCAAAAAAAACGAAGAAAATAATGAGATCACAAGGTCAAAAGGTGGTTACGTCCGAGTTTTAAGACCAAAAATAGCAGAAACGGCGGTCACAAATTTCTTTGGGTGTACGTGATCGAGAGAAGAAAAAAATAGGTTACAGATGAATCAGATGTTTAAGCAGGCATTGTTTCAACAGACGGCATTTTCCTTGGAGGAATGAAGGTCTTGATGGGACGAGGTAATTTGCCGTGTCTTGAACCCTTGAGTTTAATGACTGGGTGCATTTCATAGACGGTGTTGGCGTCAAGAGATACATTTGCAAATAGAAGCGAATTTGTAGCTCCCTTCTCTCAGAGTAAGATGAAGCTGGTACAATTAGCTCGTGCTGAAGAATCTAGAGGACGATATTTAAAGATTGGTGCCAATGGGTTAAGTGTTATGTGGAAATGTCAGGATATTGCACGATGGAATGCGTCATGCTCAGAAGCTGGACGATGAATACACTGACGTCGTGATGCAGGGACTTTTTTGACCGACTTAACTGCAACACTATCTATTGTAGTATAATAGACAATGCAGACAACGACTGCGTTATCAAGGCGTTTTCTTCGGTGTTTTATTTTGGGAGACATCTCATTGCTTAGTGAAGACAGTGATGGATCAGGTGTTTGCGAGCATGATGTCCATTGGCGTGTACTACCCTACCAGTTTTGTTTCGTGGATGAGGTGTACCAAGACAAAGACGATGAAGTAACAAAATCACGTGTGTATCACTCGGATCTAGTTGCTTCAGTGCAGCCTATTTTGGAAGTTGTGAAAAATTCGCAAAACACTGAAGACATTTAGGTCGAAGCCCATGTGCTTACTCAAGAACAACGCGGCTATGATTCTCTGGGACTACGAAGACGAGGACTCGCTGCATCTGATGCCAGTGGCGCTCCTGGGAGTACGACAATCCGTCGCAACGTTTGCGGTGGAATAGTCATTCGTCGTGAGCTTGGCACTTGCATGCTTTCTGTTCGGCACGTATCGATTAACGGCTACTGTCCTCCAAAGACGTGGTAGGTGGCATGGAAACACTTGACGCTGAAGGAGGCTCGATAAATCGTATCACGACGCATTGGACTACCAGACGACGGGAAGTTCCAAGTCCAAGTCAAGAATTTATCCTACCATTACTTCTTCGTTGTTCCCACAACATTCTTCTTCTCTTGTACATTGTATTCATATGTAAACAAGTATTCATCATGAAAAAAAAATGATTGTTATTTATCGAGAAGAAACTCTCTATTTCCAATCTCCTGAACTTCCACCCTAATTCATCGCTCCAATCAGAGCGACAGCAACAATAGCTAATAGAATAGCAGGAACGTTGACTTGAGAAGCAGCAGAACTGCTTTTAGTAGTCGGTGCCTTGTCATTTCCTGACGTGCCAGCATTAACATCATGATCCGGGTCAGTTTTCGAATCTTGAACAGTGTACGAGTCCGCAATGCCCACTCCAGCAGCATTTCGTTCCTTGACAGTTTCCAATATCTCCTTCGGACAAATGGACGAACAGTTAAAGCGCTTGGCTGCAGCCAATTGCTTTTTCGCAGCATCATTCTGAGCAATACACGACATACACGTGTGACAAATCGAAGCCGGTTCCGTGGCTTTTGAATTAATTTCCTTGAGACAATGGAGCTTTTCGGCACAAATGGGTCCTTCTTCATTCGACGTCGAAATGTACCCATAAGTGTCAGCACATTGCAATTGGTCATTGCATTCCCCAAATTGGGCAACCGTGCCCGATTTCACGTTCGGACTGACGGAATTTTGGCACTTTTTCGCATCTTCCGGTTTGCATTCACACATTTTCTTTTCTTTCCCATTTTGCATCCCCTGAGACACGCACTCGAGTTGATACCCATTAAGTTCAGCACAGTCGTCGTCATCACAGCCCAAGCTTAAAAATTGGAGCACACATTTATCCGGATTGTATTCCGTCCCCATAAAGGCAGTTGTTCCGCTTGTAGCTTGTACAGTCACACCATTTGTGCCGACAGACATGGTAAGATCTTTACTATCATTGTCGGCCAAAGTGAGCGTCACGCCAAGAGCTGCAAAGAAGAAGGACTGGAAACCCATGAGGAAAAGGTATAGAGAAAACAAATGGAGAAGAGAAGGACCTCGCAAGCAAATCAAAGAATGAACGGCTAGAGCATAAACAACCGTTTCGTAGGTCTAAGGCAGCTGTCCTGTCTCTTGTTGCACTGAATGATGACGTAATTTTTCCAGACTGGCTTTCTGTCAAGCTGATCGAAGCAAATTTTCCAGGACGAGATTAGGTCAGTTTTAGGTTCATGATCTTGAAGTTTGTATATGAAAAGCTTACGAGGTAGCGATGGGTTGTCTCGTTTATAGTATTTATTGGGTACAGAGATGGGAATTGATTGATAGGCATAGAGCATCTATGGTTGATGTTCATGTCGAATGGACGATAGGTTTCCTGGAAATCCGTCTAAACTTTCTCGGCTATGCATCGGGAAAGGCACAATATCGTAGGTTCAAGTCTGGTCTCTGAGAATTCGAGAAGATTCTCGGGTACTTTCAGCGCGTCAGCTCGGTTCAAACATCGACACGAGTAGAACCCTTCGATGAGGTGAAACGACGAACTCGAGCTTATTCGACGATACATTCAATGGTAATATGCCATTTTGATCTAAAGCTGACTCTAGATCTGCTTTGAAAAGCATCTACTGTGGTTATTGTCAGTGTGTAGGCCGTCTGAAGCCTTCTTGAGACATTGTACTTATGCGCTCTCTAAGCTCAAATACTTGGATGGGCACCTGATCCTGTGAATGTCCATATGATTGATTGCTTGTTTATACTTTTTTTAGCGATGCAGCTTCCTTTTCACTTTAGCTTTGTATCCAGCGTCTTATCCCTTGTTATGATGCTTCAGTGGAGATGGTGGTAGGCAGACCTATACCCTAAAGGCTGTCCAAGTCTCATTAGCTGCGACAAACGGATATGAACGTGCCTCATGATAAACAAGCGCAAGTTTATGCAGCATGACTTTTTGCAAGCTGAATGCGTTGCAATAAAGTTACACGCTCCGCTACTTGCCTTTGTAAACCTAACAGGAACGGTCCTAAAAGTATTTGACCTTAAAGCTTCATTGAGGCTACCGCGTGGTACAATACTCGGAGCGTGAAATCAGATCTCGTGTAGGTCCAGTGGTATTAAGCATCTTCACTACTTTATCGTCGTGTAGCATTTTTCTGTCTAGACACTGCATGTTTAATCCATTGATCGTCGACAATACTGTCCAATTTCATGATCCTCGAAACGACGAGATCGGGTCAAATCACTAGTCATGCAATTTCACTAAAATGAGGAATATATTTTAGTAAGCTCGCAAAACTGAGAAGGGCAGGGATGTACGACATCTAAGATGGGGTGGTAGTAGGGGATCTAACGAATACTATCATTAGGCAGAGCCATGACCTCACAATCCTTTAATTTTCGTCTCGAATAGGTGTATTCGTAAAATAACTATAGTAGGAATTAGGAATTAAATAGCGCAAATTTTCTTACATCTGGGTTTTTCTTACAAGCGATATTATAAAGTAAAGGTCAGTTTTTCTGCTGTTGAACATGACAAAACTAACGCCCAGGTGTTAGTTTAACAAGATTAGCATACTTAATCTCATTCTTCACGACGGCAAAAGTTGCCAGTCTCGCTGATCTCCTAAATACGCCCTGATAAAAGATTTTGACTTACTTGAGCGACAAAAAAATACTCAATTACCAAAACCTACGTTATATGTCCTCGTTTACACCGCAAGGGCTTAACTCTTTGTCGAATGTAATTTTCCTGCTAACGTCTTAACTTTTGGCAACATTGCTCCATTGCCTCATAACGGGAGGCTTTAGAGAGGACCTAATCTTATAGGACCATTTTTAAAGTGACAACCTTTGGCTAGCAAAGGAGTCTTGGTAGCACAACGGTCAGTGGCTTGTAAAGGAACCGCTGGGGATATGTGCTCAGCATATCCAAAAAAATGAGAAGTGAGGAAGCTGCAATGATGATCAACGATCATGTTTGAGATGCTGAAGCATATAAAGTAGAGGTCGACGAATTTACATAGAAGATGTAGTTTGTCTCTAGCGCCAAACGAGCAGCGTAAAAAATCACCGTCAATGTGACAGTCTGCACTGATTTGTCTCCACTTTTCATGCAATGCACTCTTGAATGACACGCAATCGCAATGCACGCCTTGTAAGTAAATAACGCAGCACTACGGTCCAAGGACGCACAACTTATAATAAGCACAACTCATGACGAGTGAAAGCACATAAAGTTGATCAAACGGTAAATGCCTTGCGTGTTTGTTGCGTTAGCTTGGAGACGCTGGATGGCGTTAGCTTGGAGACGCTGGATGGCGGTAGTATTGCAAACCACAAAAACCTTTAAGCGAACAACGCAGTCAGTATATGAATTAGCTCGCTCCTTCGACAAGTTTTTCTTTTATCAAAGTGAGGTCGTTGAAATACTTCTGACAGTGAACAATGTCGTATATTTTTTTACCGTCATGCATCCTTAGTGCAACTCCGTAAGCTTAATCGTTAAGGTTCTTCCATACCCCCTACACGAGTCTTTCCTCACCCGTTGACGCGCTTCATCGGTAGTGGGCCTTGCCGATTTAACAGGTGGTTGCAATAGCCTGTCTAGGACGGCATTCATGTTGGTCACGCAATTCAAACTCAGTTGAAGTAACTGGTGTTGGTGATTGAAGCAAGTGGTCGAGTCAGCTGGTGTCGCAGAACACTATAATGACGCCTGCTGATCACATCGACGGAGCCTAATGACGTTGTATTCACCTCCACGTTCCCGAAGCGCGTGTGACCTCTCCTTAACCTTGGCCTTACGATGAGGGATGGAATCCGTATCTGTCCGCTGGCTCTGCAAAGGAATCCATGTCTGTCTGCTATCTCTTGACACTGTCTTCCTATCTTAAAGTTTGATGATAATCAAAATGTCGATTAGTGCTTATGACTACAAGATATCTGTAAGCTTCTACTAGAGCTACATCAGTCTTCTCCTCGCTGGCTCACGCTGCTGGCTCGAGACGTCAGGCTTCACGAGAGACACTCCGCAAAAAAACCGGGTATCCAGCCGGGGTGCAGCCAGGACGCTAAGTTCGCAAAAAGCGCTGGGTACCACTCCGATCATGCCCGATGAGCCGCTCACGCATTTGAGTTGGTCCGATCAAGTCACGTTTTAGGCAATTGCGACAATGATATTGTGAGATTGTGCATGCGCTTAACTCGCTTTCCTTCGTTTAAGGGAGGGAAACGATGGTGCAAATTGTTTGCATTGTCTCTCACGTTTGTAAATTCTCTTCTCTTTTAAATTTGCGCGACAGTCATCACCTATTGCAAGGATGGCTTCAAAGGTGCAAGTAGCTATTGTACTTATTCTAGCGACGCTAGTTCCGATCGGAAGAGTAACATCTAATGCCGATGTGATGCTCCATTTTCCGGCGATTGATACGCCGAATGCAACCCCTGGCTGGCCGAACCGATACCTGAGATCAACCGAATCCTTGACAACGACCAATGAGAGCAACGCCGAAGAGAGAGGATTTTGGTCGGAGTTCGTTGCCAAAATGGAATGGGGAAAAAGGAACGTCGATATTTTGCCGTTGGTCAAGGAAGAAAGCGAGACCGTGCCGTTGATCACAAAAGAGAACGAGAAGGTGAAGGCGTCTGAGAAAAAAGAAAGAATATATTAAGCGATAATCAAGCCTTAAAGACGTCGCAAAAAAAGTTTATCTTGCGCGAAGATGACGAGGTCAAGCGTCTCGTCAAGAAGATGGATAACATCAAGTCAGTTACAACTATACTGAAAGAAAAATACTTCCAGCGGTGGGTCGATGTGAGGAGATCTGCGGAAGAGATTCACAACCTTTTGGGGCTACCAATAGGACCTGCCCTCTTAGAGAGCCCACTTGTATGGATATGGCTGGATTACGTGATATGTATCAAACGAACGTCCAACTTTGAGGAACCTATTGCCTTTTTCGTGAAAATGTTCGGCAACAATATTGAGGTCGCAAAGATGTTTGAGGGTGCGGAAAAGGTTTTTATGGATAAGGATCATGGGCTGGGGAGATTGAAAGAGGAGTTCTTGCTTCAGTGGCTCAAGTATGAAACCGATTGGGACAACCTCTTGACGAATCTTGAACTGGCAGGTTTCACCAACGATAAGATCCTGTATTATAAGACGTTATACGATCAGTTTAACTACTTGTAATACGGCACATTTAAAGCACTTGAAGAAGCTTAAGCACTTGAATCAGCTGAAGAACCTGAACCTGGACGAGTCTGAGAGCAGTGGACGAGAATGGTGCTGATTTGTGGCAATTCTATTTGCCTTTCAATAAGAATTTGCAATTGTTACGTCCTTTTAGAGTTTGAATTACGTGTAGTTCATATGGAGTTGTCTTTAGACGTGACATAGGACACAACAGGCGCACAGTGAGACCGACTACCACGTCCCGCTTGCCCCGGGGGACTGACTGCTAGCATAGCCACATTCACGCACAAGTTTTTATTTTCACAACACAGCTTTGATCTGAGACCACATGCCAGGCATGTCGCTCAATTTAGCTTAGCATAGGAACGCTTACCGATTTCACTGCACTGGTCCCGGCATTGGTGTTTTAGCAGATCAGTTGCAGTCAAGTGTGAGTTGTCGCTCTCCATTTGCCTCATAATCTGTGCCGACTTGAAGGCCAAAATAACTGTCATGTTGCCAACGTCTCGGATGTCACCCCTCGCGTAGAACGACGACGACCGTCGTAATTTCGCTGAGCATTATTTCGCAAGCCCCAGTGACCACAAGCAGACGCGGGCAGTCATGTTTGTTTTGGTGATAGGTAGCTCGGTGGTGTCGTGTGGATATTTTCCACCTAAAGCTGACATTCACGTCCTCATTACTAATGGTGATTTTCTGACGGTTGGGAGTGCAAGGATAAATAGCTGGAAGATGGACGGCTTCTTTGACCAATCCGTTCGTAAGTCTTGAGATGTTTCTGTTCGCAATACGTACATTAGTGCTAGCAGTGCGAAGCACCGACGTCAATAAAGTGACAAAGATACTTTTTCTTCAGTATAGTATAGAATTGAAAACCTTGGCTTATCGAGAGAGTCAAGAAGCAGAGACAAATTTTGGGATTGATCGACGTTGACCTTTTGTTCTGAAGTACTTTGTAGTCGGTAGTGGGTATGCGTTGTCTTGAGTTTCTCAAAAAAAAAAGTGTCGGTCTTGAGGTAGGATCCTGGAAACTCGCCAGCAACATACAAGCAGTTAAATTACGTAGTGAGGATCGGAGCTGTTCCGTCATATTCTCGATAGCAACCTTTTCCAAGACGGCAGGATCACTGCGCTTTGCAGAGCATTAATGCCTTTGCGACCTCCCGTACTTGAAGTTGTCCGTCATTCATTTGTAAAATCTGCCAACTTGGTAGTCTCGTTAGCCAACCACTCGACCACTTCGGCATACGCCGTATGATCTGACATGTGTTGTATTAAAATGAGGAATCACGCGTCTACAAGTACGCCCGCTTTCTCGTAACCTGAGTTGCTAGCCAACTTGGTGAATCAGATTGTATTAAAGTAAACGGACAGAACGGCACAAAATTGTCAGGAAAGTTGACGATGCAATAGCCGGCGCTGGTGGAAGTAATAAAGCTCTATCGGCAATAGCCTTACGAACGTTAATAGCAATAAGCTCTAGCAGGTCGAGCAACTAGGCTGACACCCTGTAATCGTCCAGCCTAGACGCGTTGATAGACCGCCTTCAGCACATTTGACGTGTTCTCGTCGTCTTCAAGGTATTTATGACGACCACCTTGTTATAGGATATCTACCTGCAGCAGTTCTTGCTTCATTTCCAAAAGCTTCATCATGCGTGTTGCTAATGCGCTGCATTAGCATAATTGGAAAGAACTCTACCCGAGCAGCTTTTCTAAACTTTTTGTATAGGCCCGAGTGCGATGCAGCAAGTGGGATTCTTAAAGAAGCTGTACATGCAAGGCAACTAGCTTATCACGCAGCGAAAGAAGGTGAAGGGACAAAATGCGGCATCGTAGAACTTCAGTCTGCGAGTCACAAATATTTACGCCTTACATGCAAACTTGCTAAAGATCTTTACATAATTAATGACTGGCAAGGAAGGCGTGCCGTGCTCAATGGTGTTTCACACACATTGCGACCGCTTGAAATATCCATTTTTTTCTCGCTTTTATCCTATCCACTCGTTTTATAGCATCGAAACGGGCCACAAAACCCGCGGGCCGCAATTCTCGAGATAAAACCATAGATGTAATCCAAGTCACGGCCCTGCGAAATCAGATTCCACTTCAAGGTCGATTCCCCGCGCTGTTGACTGGACACTCCCAAGATCCCCCTCCTCCGCACCTCCTTTTGCGCAACTATGGACGAGGAAGTGGTGCTAGGCTACACCGCCGCTATTGCAGCCGTCTTCTTCTTTGGAACGTGCTACGTGCCAGCAAAGACGTACGCCACCTACGGTGAGGCACACAGATAATATCCACTTGTTTATCTATTTTAGCTCACCCTTCGGATTTTTTGACGCATGGTGTGGTACACGTAATCTAAACTTTTTAAAACAGATGGCATTATTTTCCAGTGGTTTATGGTACATTGTACCGTATCTCGTCATACAAAGGTAGCCATTAGTAATTTATCTGATATGTCTGTTCGTTACAGTGTTCCGGGATCTTAATGGTGGGTATCGCCTGGGGTCTTTTAAGCAACAACTGGTCGCAGTATTCCCATTCAGGCATGTATACATTTCCAGAAGGACTCCTGGGTGGATCTTTATTCGCTATTGCCAATCTATTGATTCCTACAGTGGTCAATACCCTCGGCCTGGGCGTGGGCTTCATGCTTTGGAACGCCACCAACATTACACTAGGCTACTGTGTTTCAAGACTCGGTCTCTTTGGCATGGCACCTACGATCCCTTCCATGCCATGGGTCAGTCTATTGGGCATCGCCTTTATGCTGGCTTCCATTGCTGTCTACGGCACCATTAAGCCAACGTTGAAAGCAGCCAAGAAGGCCAAGGAGCCCAAGATTCTAGACGACGGAGACGGGCAGGAATCAGACCTTAAGGTGCACTGGGAGAGTCTGGGTAGTACCAATAGCTTGAACAGCTCCGTTGGAGAGAGCTCGCTGTTGCTGCCACAATTTTCGCCTGACGCAGATCTTGCGAATGTGTTGCTGGTTCGACGCGAGTCACTTCAAGAAGCACTCATGCACCCAGAGCTCCCGAATTTTGGACCATACATGATGCCGAACATAGTGGGAGAACGTGTGGAATTGGCGAACGCTGGCGCTGAGAATACGCGCAAGGCTTTTGGTATGGCGATTGCGCTGCTGGTGGGCGCTTTCTTGAGCTGCTGCCTTGTGCCGTTTGTGAATTGGAAGGGTCGCTGCCATCCATCCGATCCTGCGCTCAGCAGCCCTATTGTGGAAACGTGCAACCCACTGAATTTTGTTTTTTCGCAGTGTTTGGGCATCTACTTGACCAGCACGATCATTTTCCTGCTCTACTCGCTGTTCCACCGATTCGTGCTGAAGCGCTCAATGCCTCGTAGTGTGATGCGCCCGGCTTATATTTGTGGTGTGCTGTGGGGAATCGGGTTGTGTGGCCAGCTCTACGCTATTGGCGCGTTGGGTTTTGACCAGATCTTTCCCATCTGCTCCATTGGCCCCGCGATGGTCTCGATGCTCTGGTCAGCTGGCTATTTCAAGGAAATTCAAGGCAAGAAGAACCTCCACACGTTGGCGCTAGGCACAGTCTTAGTTCTTATTGGTACAGGACTGCGAGCCATCTCCGTGTAAAGAAGCGCTGAAACTACAGTGAAGCTGACTTTATCCAGGCTTTACGCTATGGTGTCGTTGACAACGGGCTCTAACTCGCAGGCGAGCACTGTTATGCCAAGTTTTTGCTCGCTGGCTGCGGCTCTGCTTTACGTCAAAAGTCTTAGGTACGCTAGATCGACAACTTCGGTTGTGTGTTTGTTTATATCGTGAGCAGCAACAGCATCGCGAGCAAAGCAATCAAGGGCGGGAGCAATAACTCTCGTGGTATTGTTCCTAAGTCGAAAATTAAATGGTTCACGTTCACAGTTTCTGCTGTGGTTCGCAATTGTAGGGGGAACATTCAGGGTGCTTTTGACCCGCACTAGAGATTTGTCAAGCTTTGGGATCGCATGAATAGGACAACAATACTTCATAGCGTTCGAGCATAAAGCGATTGATCAGGTGTTCACGCTGTTCGTGCTCGTGAAAGTGTTTGCTGTACACTCGTGCCTGCTACTGTGATACTTTACCGTACCTTCAGCAGCGCCGTCAGTAAGCTTGGACCGACTGTCACAAGCCTATCCAAGCGTAGTGGCAAAGCTACTGCGATGTGCTACCGACAAGCATTAGAAGTGCATATCAACTAGCTCATGCAATGCACTGTCCTTCATCTAGCCTCGGGTATAACAACTACAGGCGGTTGAGCATCGAAAGGTTGTGGCTCCTGTAACATGCTAATTCTTGCAACTCTCAAACTACCGAGTCCGTATTTTTTAAGGTACGATGCCAATATCTTCAAGTCCCATCATCATTATTTCAGCATGTGATTGAGTACCAACCACCGTTTAAGATAGCGTCAGCACTTTAAACGAACCAACCTAGGAAATGTCACCGATGAAACATTACTTTAACAGGGACTAGGAGCTTACAGTAGCTTAAGCCTTGACGAAAGCAGCGAAGCATCATCTGGATGTACTTGCGACGTGAAAAGAATTACCTGAGGCACAAGTTGGCAAGTCAAGTCGTCGCCGATGTACATTTAAACGAAATGGAAATGTGCTAATTTATGATGATGTGAATGCTTCAAGTATCGAAAAGACGTTGACATAGATAAACGGCATGTGTGATTCTCTAACCAATGCGGACGTCTGCTCTACAACTTCATATCATACTTGTATTGGGTATTTCGCATTAAGAGACGAGCTTTTCTGTAAAGTGAGACAAGATACCAGAGCTATAAACAACAATCGGCATAGGAACGTTATTTAAGGTAAGGTTTTCATAGTCAATTCTTCAATACGGAATGTCTATAATGTCAGTAATGACGTGTCAATTACCAGCTTTACTAGTATTGTCCGTGTAAGCATTAAAGTCATTATCGATCTTACAAACGGTCGTTCTAGAACAAGCACGATCAAACTTACGGAATTGTTACATCTGGTTCTAAGTCATATTATTGAACCAAGTCTGTGAACAAGTTTGCTGTTTGTGAGTGACAATACAGTATGCCGTCGCCATTATGCAACAAGTGTTGGTCAAATAGTTGAAGTTGTGTACAGTTTGTGTATTGCTGGCCACGTGGCTGGATAGACGAGTACGTACAGTACCCATCGTCAACTTAGTTACTGCAGTTATTCATATCCTGTTCCAACTAATACTTGTATATACCGCTTCAATATATATTAATGCCTATTTACAACTTGCAGCACTTTATAATCTTGCTATAACCTATTCACACTATCCGTTGCTTATATCGTCCTCTCGTCCTACCTTTCTCAAATTCGTACTTAATCCATTTGATCGTACACGTGGCGATCCGACTTCGAGTGAAGGTCGTATTATCATCATTCGAGAATTTGCACTGGATTAAGCAAGAGCTCATTTTGACCAACACTCTTCTTTCAATACAAAGATGCTGACTAAACTAGTGGTTGCACTAGGCGCTGTCGCCGCGGCAATGGCTGAAGCCAAGACATTCTTTCACGAGACATTCGATGACGCTGATTGGGAAAGTCGGTGGATTGCATCTACATGGAAACCAGCAGCAGAAGTGGGCAAGTTTGAACAAGTCGTGGGCAAATACTATACGGACGAGAGTGACAAGGGCATTCAAACGAGTGAGGACGCCCGTTTCTACGCACTCTCGGCCAAGTTTGACACGCCATTGAACAATAAGAACAAGAATTTGTACCTGTCTTATCTGGTACAACACGAACAGAAACTAGACTGTGGTGGTGCGTACATTAAATTATTGCCTGCTGACTTGGACCAAGCGACTTTTGGTGGCGAGTCGCCATATTCGATCATGTTTGGACCGGACATTTGTGGCAGTACAAGAAAGACACATGCAATTTTGAACTATGCACGTCCAGGAAAAGACGCTGTGAACATGGACCATGAAGAAGACATTCGTGCAGAATCTGACTCGGATGCACATGTGTATTCGTTCATATTGAAGCAAGATAATACGTACGAAGTAAAGATTGATGGCAAGAATATTAAGAGTGGTGAATTGGCCAAGAACTGGCCATTTCAGCCGTCGAAACAGATCAAGGACCCGGAACAATCGAAACCGGAAGATTGGGTGGATCTGAAGCAGATCCCGGACCCAGAAGACAAGAAACCGGAAGATTATGATAATATTCCCAAGACAATTCCTGACCCAGATGCTGAGAAGCCTGAAGACTGGGATGATGAAGATGATGGAGAGTGGGAACCTGCGATGATTGAGAACCCTGAGTACAAGGGAGAGTGGAAGCCCAAGATGATTGAGAATCCGGAGTATAAGGGTGAATGGGAGCATCCACTTGTGGACAATCCGGACTACTTTGAAGACGATTCGCTTTACAATGTAGCGAAGAATGTCGGTGCTATTGGCTTTGAGCTGTGGCAGGTCAAGAGCGGCACTTTGTTTGACGATATTCTTGTGACAGACAATGAAGAGGAGTTTAATGTTCACGAGGAAGCAGTGTTGGAAAAGATGGAAGCGATACAGAAGAAAAAGAAGGAGATTCAGGATGAGGAGAAGGCAAAGAAAGAGGCTGAGGCCAAGGAGGCAGAGGAAGCTGCAAAGAAAGAGGAAGGGGATGAGGAAGAGACGGATGAAAGCGAGGAGAACAAGGAAGAAGTTGGTGAAGATGCGGAGAAGGATGAGCTGGAGAAGGATGAGCTGTAGACAATCTTATCGAGGCTTCGCCTTCATTTTGCTTTTACTGTTTTGCTCCTGAGCATTTGCAAGCAGCAAAAAATATTACTGTAGTACACATAGACCGTCAGTGTTCTTTGGTGATCGATGCATGAGTGAGCAATGACTACGTAGTACTTTAACCTACAGTTTATTACTGGTATACTGAACTTAATTTCTTTACCGCCTAAGACTTATTGAGTAGCAAATGTGACAAGACAAATGCCACCGATGAGCATGCAGTGAAGTGAGATGAAAGTAAGGAACACGTAGAACCACTTAATTGTACGTTTGCCAACACACTTGCCCGTCCAGGGACAATGGTGGTCCAGCTACAGTATCACACACCACATAATCAGATCAAACCCTTTATCAAATTTTATATGCAACAACTTCCAATCTCGATTGCAGTACCTCAATGACACAAATGCCACAATCAGAGCAATGAGATGCATTCAAAGGTCGTAGAACTTCACATTGTGCTACACAGATAGTCACAGAAAAATCAAAAACCATATCCACTTCCATCTCTCTTTCTTACAACATCGTATACGTACCGCATACAATGCCCGTCTCAATATCTCCTCGAGCCTGGTCAGCTACTTGTAAATTCTGGAATACCACACCCGGGTCGCTGCATGCTACCATTGTAAAGGAGACAGTTGTAAGGCAAATTGATGCCATCAATGCTATCTTCATCCCCAGCATGAGATCATCAATAAAGAAGAAAAATACAGGGCCGATTGCTAGACAATAAGTTATTAGCATGCAGCCCCAGTGTGGTCCAACGTGGCACGTAATTGGGACGTAACCGTAGCTTTTCGATAAAGAGCACAATATGTGTGTACGACCATAACGGACACAGCAGCGACCGGTATGAACTGAAGGAGATTTACGGTATCTACTCATGACTTCTGTGTCGTCTGTCACATGCACGTCATTGCCCTCGAGAGTCGAATGCTCAGCATTTACGACCATTTTTGGACTTTATGGACTGTTTTCGTGGTTATTTTCAGCCAAAAAATAGACTCAGTGTGAAAATCGGTTTTAAAGACCCGTATACAATAGTGTAGAGATAAATAAGCTTCGAACTTATAAAAAGATCGAGTTTTGAAATCGTAGGAAATCAAATTTAGCTACCTACAAACATTAATACAGGTATCCTCTTAGTAACTTTTGGGCAAGGTTGACGAAATTTTCCATAACATAGCGGATATTATACTTGTTCGCTCCTGTGCAGTGCCAGAGAATACGTAGGAGTCCTTAGTGTTGTCAGGTGTAGGCCAGATACCTCTTTTTCGCGTCTGAAAAGTACAGATTCAACCGATGAGTAGCCATTCTGTAGCATACCCAAATCTACTAGTCTTTTATAGTATGTCTATTAACCAAAGCTATGCGGTGGCTATGATGTTTAAGAGCCATCTCGGTGTTGTAGCTTGGTCATAAGTAGATATTAATGCATGTAAGGTTGGCGTTGGACTGCTGTGAACGCATGCATGATGTGTATGGATACCTTATGAACACGAACGTCGTGTTTCGTGTGCGCTATTGGATATTTACCAGCTCCTGTTGACCAGCTTCGAGCACATTTGTCATATGATCAAAAATCTATCATTGACTTCCATTGTCGGCTTGATGTAGCTTAATGAGGGCCAAGATGCCTCCGGATCGTGTGGCCATGGCAGAGTACTGAAATTGCTTCATATTTTGGAGATTACGACAACTATATTGAGGAAGATCAGAACGCTCTTCGCTGGTTGTGTGAAGATTCCGGAGAAGCGATGCACGATGCATTACCGTCGGTATCTGCTTTGCTTGCTATAAGAATACCGTCGAATTGTCAACACAAGCGGAGAATTTTTGCTTCTGCTTAGAAATGCCGGAATGCCACAGTCCCCTAATACTTTGCAATAGTGCTATTGCTAGTATATTCGCCACGAGAAGAAGTAGTGTACCCTGCCCATGAGTATGAGGTTCAAATTGGATAAATTTCCGCTCCCCACACACCAATAGTGTTATGGTGGAACACCTTGAATCATTGTGACAAATGATTCCGCAAACCCGAAATACCTTACACCGTGTCATATACCTTGCGAAAGTTTTACACTGTAGAAGCTCGGCTAGCAGCAGGCAACAGATCCGATCGTTTGTTGCCTCAGTCATTTTTTTAGTTTAATATGCCGCGCAAACCAAGGTTTGTTGTCTACGTCACAGCGGCGTCCTAGTCCCGTAATTGTGTTGTTCATCAGTGGCGCTAATCACGGTAACTATTTGTTTAGCAAGTCGTACTTGTTGGAATCTGCATTGACACACTAATCAATGGGTCTTGACCATTTTGGCGAAGTGAGCCAAAACAAGACTGACTTTCCTATCATCGAGTGAGAAATTCGTTGAGCGGTGATGTTTCGAATGCGATATCTATTAAACTTCTCAGTACATGCAATCGTACCTGTCGAGTCACTAGGGCGTCTAAAGTGTATGCCTTAAGGGAAGTTGTTGAGGGTAATACATTAGCTTAGCAAGTCCTGCAAGCGCAGCACTTTCCCATTACTTAATACTGTTTCGGAGCGCTAGGAAACTTTACTTGGGACAGGTGATTCCCATGTCATGCTCTATGATTGCCACATTTCCTGCCATGACTAGTTATGATTAATCACTGTATATCATTCTAACAACTGTAGCACAAGGAACGGTCCTTAGCTGGTTTTGCATGGAAATACACAAGCTATGTGAGAAGAGATTACTCAATCATAAACAGATTGTCGACACTGTAATGGTGCACCCTCCGACTATACTGATAACAGTTTGGTCTACCTTCACTGATGACAGTGAAAGCAGGTGCCTCAAAACCTCTCTTACACAAGAGGCAGAGGAAGCTTTACTTCCAAACGATACGCTTAGAAGTAGAGGAAAATAAGAACTGTATTTAATATAGTTAACTATCTAATAAAACTAATCTGTTATAACCTATGCTAACTATATTAAACTACAACTATGTATGATGACAACTTGCCCTCCACTCATTGCGCGCATCCATCGGTCATTGGTCAGCGCGTTAATTGATATGATGGCCCATGTCAGCCAATGAGAGGGCATCTACAACTTCAAGGAGATCTAGGAACAATATTATAAGAAAAGGTAATATTGTCCGATATTATTAGTTATAATAATATTTTTATTGACACTTAATATAAGTGTCAATATCATGTAACGGGCTCACCCCGTTACAGACACGCCTTAAATGCTATCGCCTTTATTGGTAACCTTTCTTAACGGCTATATTTCGACTGACAGTGCTGCGATGCTGTCTGATCAGGTACTCCTGTATGATCAGGGAGCTAGTAGAAAAGGCCATTACGCTTCATATATGGCTAAAGTGTGTAAACAATACTTGGTTGCGCTAGATATCAATTGCATGACCAAAGCGAATCGTAAAAAAGCGAATCTCTGAAAGATTGAGGGAGCCAGCTGATGTCCCACCACGACTTCCACCTCTCACAGGGACAACTGAAAAAAATTTGTCTTCTTGTAAAGCCATGGAGCATTTTGACAAAGACAAGTCGCCGTTGTAGACGATCACTTCTATGAAGTTGCCTCGTGCTACTTAGCACACACCTTCAGCACAAGCGAGGAAGCGGTTAGACCGTCTTACCTTCGCGTGCGAGGGTGGTTATGTGGTTGGTCGACTGCTTAAGCAGTCGTACTGTAGCGGAACTGCACAGCTCTTTAGCTAGAGGAAGACTTTATGCTGAAAGCCTCTTAGTTCTAGAGAACTAAATAAAGTTGACGGCTTAAAGTCACTTAGTTCTAGGGAACTAATTAAACGACTTAAAGTCACTTTGTTCTAAGGAACTAGGAGAGAGACTTTTAGTCTACAAGCAATAAGCTTCAGGTTCAGAGAACCAACGCACAGAGTGCAAGATCAAGCTAGAAGCTTAAAGGTTCAGAGAACCAACGCACGAAGTGCACAAGAGAACAAGTCAGAACGACTTGTGATCTTAAACTCAAAATGAGAACTGATTTAGATTTATGCATTAAGATTTTATGAATAGTCCTACTCTAAGTACCCTACACTAGATTAATTACTATAATAGTAACTATGATATGCAGACTTTGCTATTGGACGACGTATCGTCTAAACATCTATGTAGGATGTACTGAGTACAGCGTTATCGATTATCGAATCCTAATCGATAAGATACGGTATTACCGAATACCGTATCTTTAACGCTCATATTTAATACCTCTCTAAAGAGAAGTATCAGAAATACATTATATGCAATGAAGAGAAACTTCAACCGTAAGCTTTCGGAATGATGTTACAACCGTCGTGTAACACCGTTACACTCTCCCCCACCAGACTGACGTTCCCATAGAATTTCATTCGACATCCTTCGTCTTTAAGGTTGTGCCTTAGCGAACGTTTAAACCTTACGATTGTTCACGGCACACAACATGACTCCTCCTGGAAATGAGTCACAGACTCTACGGGACCTCATTGAAGGCGACCTTGATGAAGCGGTTGGTTACGAAAGTGACACCGTCTTTGTGGGACCCGATGGGTCTCCCTTAACCACCCTTACGGGTGGACATGACAGTAGTCATGCACCGAATCCGCTCCCTGAACGTGGTGCTACAGATGCGCTAGCAGCGTTATGTGACCCGCCTGACATATCTTAAACAGCGACGGTTACTAACCCACTCGACGAGCAGCAGCAGCAGACCATCGATCAAGAGGAAGGCGCCAAGCGCCGGACGAAGAATATGGTGAGGCTTCAAGACCATCGATAGTTTAGGTTTAAACCACCTACAGTGGAATAACGCCTTAAGGAAGCATCTGGGCATTCCCTTTCTGTCTGGGCCATTGGGCTTGAGGCCATTTCACCCGAGGATGTCGCTACGCGAACGACTCTTCGAAAACGCTATCTGAAACCCCATATCACTACGCAAAGCCAATACTTGGCACGCCTCACTAGGCAAGTGCGCGGTGCACCAGTTCCTCCCATAAAGGGTGTTCCCATCCTTTTATTCGCGAGAGAAACCGAGGAGGAAGAAGACGTGGCTTTTATCCGCTGGGCGCATTATGCGCGACGTTAAAGCAGAATGTGGGTCCTACGGGTAAGTGCCGATGTGGCAATGTTCGTCTCGAACGGAAAATGCGTTACGATTACGCTCAGCTGAAGGCCCGAGGAAAGTTAAAGTCTCAACGAACGCAATATGCGTCTGCTACCCAGCACCCCAATGTTTTGGCTACACCTGTAGCCGCGAGTTCACTACAGGCCGAGGCCGCTAACTCGCCTACCCTCACCACTACTGGTGAGAAGCGTCATCGCCAACAGGTTGGCCTTGCGCACGACGTTCAAAAACGTCCACGGCGTATGGGCAATCCTGCCGAAGGGGAACCTCAAACTCCCATGAGTTCCACGACTCGGGATATCCCCGCCACTTCACCAAATACTGGTTTTGACCATGGCGGCGACGTTTCTGCGGTAGACGTTCCACATGGAGCTGAAGGCTCCCCTGTCCATCAAGCAAAGCCAGAGGAGGCCGGTGTACCGGCACAAGCTCATGCAGAGCTACTTCAAGAGGTGCAGTCTCTCCGTGAGAATATGCAGACGATAAATTCCCGCCTCGAGTCGCTGGAACAGAGCCGAACCCGAGTGGATGGTCAGCTTGACCTTTTGGTGCAGATGATCCGTCCCGCGGCAATGCCGATGAGCTCGGCGCGAGCGCCTTAGTGCTCACTTGGGACGGATCCCGATATGGTTTAAGCATGCCGACAAAGAACACGGGATGTGTACGCAATTTGCGCGGCAAATGAAGCGTGTACGCTAGGCCTTTCTTGGCCAAGACCGTAAAGGGTCCGATGAAGCGCGGACGCAATTGTCTTAAAGACAGCATACAATACATTTGTAGGTAGGTTCTTAGCATTAAGTAACACTTTGTCTCCGACGTCATAATCATCAATACAACTTCTG